AAAAAAAAAAAAAAAAAAAAAAAAAGGTTAAACTTAAACCACCAGAGTACACCTGGGCCTGGCAGCCTTCCACTGCCCGCCAAGCTTTGCCGAACCGCCAGCCAGTTCTCTCCACAAGGCTGGTGCCGTCTACTGGCGGTTTCAAACTCTGACTTGCTAGGGTCCAGAACTTCAGAATGAATTGGACAGCTATTTACAATCGTGACGATTATACTTTACAGGTTTACCTTTATAGATTAGAGTCATTAGAATCATTAGACGGAAGTAAAAAACACATCTATACAGAGGGAAACCTGGGAAAGAAGAAAATAGCAAAAAGATAATATGCCATTTTGTCCTCGTTAGGTGAACACCAAGGCGGTGGTCACTGCCAAGGCTGACCCAACCAAGCTGCGCGGTTACTGCTCAGGCTAATCCCCAACCAGCCTGAGCGGTTACCACCGAGGGTAAAACCCAACTACGCTTCTCGGTTACCGCCGAGACTCACCCAACAAGCCTGCGCACTGTTACTGCCGAGGCTAACCCAACCAGGCTGCGGGGTTACCGCGGAGGGTAACCCAACTATAAGCTTCTCGGTTTACCGCCGAGACTCACCCAACAAGCCTGCGTGCTGTTACTGCTGAGGTAACCCAACCAGGCTGCGGGGTTACCACGGAGGGTAAACCAACCAGGCTGCGGGGTTACCGCGGAGGGTAACCCAACAATAAGCTTCTCGGTTACCACCGAGACTCACCCAACAAGCCTGCGCACTGTTACTGCCGAGGCTAACCCAACAAGGCTGCGGGGTTACCGCGGAGGGTAACCCAACTGTAAGCTTCTCGGTTACCGCCAAGACTCACCCAACCAAGCTGCGCATTTACTGCGCAGTAACTGCCGAGGCTAACCCAACCAGGCTGTGGAGTTACCGCGGAGGGTAACCCAACTACGCTGTGCCCGGTTACCGCCGAGACTCACCCAACCAACAAGGCTGTGCGGTTACTGCCAAGGCTAACCCCAACCAAGCTGTGGTTATTGTGCTCTTCGAGGGGGAAAAAAAAAACACATCCTGCATTCTCTTGTTGGCCGTGATGAAAATGTGAGCTTCGCCTCCACCCGTCTTCACCCAAACTGCTCCCTCCCTCCCTCCCTCCCTCTCCCAAGTCACAGAGTAATACTCTCAACCCTCCCAAACAGGTCCCTTAAAGCAGAGTACAAAGGAGCTGCAGCTCTTGGGCTCGACACCTGTCCCAGCAGTATGTCGGCTGCCTTCACAGATTGGTGGCCGTAGAATCGAGAGTTGACCTCCGATCGCGTGAGTACCAGACTCCCTGCAGGGACCAACACGATGGCAAAAACAAAGAAGAAGCCCAACAAGGAACCACCAACTGAGCAATCAATTGATTCAATACAATCAAAAAAAATCAAAATTACATTTTCTGATTTTCTGAGTGGGGATCCGGGCCCCCGGGTGACCGGCAG